CACTGTTGTTGACTTTCCTGCAACTGTTGGATTCTTTCTTCCTGTTCCTTTCTTGTTCTAGTTGCCACTGTTGTTGACTTTCTTCCTGTTTATTTTCTTTTTCCTCCAATCACTGCTGTAATTTCTCTTCTCGTTCTTCTTGTTTCTTTTCTTTTTCCTCCGTTTAGCAGACTTGATGGCAGCAATACAAGAGCAGCAAAAGAAACAAGAAGAGAGACAACAGCAGCTGCAAGAAAACCTGCAACTGTGGCAGCTCGAACAACAAAATAAACAAGAAGAACGAGAAGAGAAATTACAACAGTTATTAAAACGAGAGGCGGAAAATCAAACTACATATCTATCTATGAATATATAAACACAGAAGGTAAGATGTATCTATGAATATATAAACACAGAAGGTAAGATTTTTTTTATTCTCCATCTTCAAAGGCAGGAATTTTTTTCTTTCTCTTTTTTTTCTTTCTTTTTCTTTTTCTGAGTGCAATCCCCTCCCCACAACTGCCTGCAAACAGTGAAGGGTGATATAGATATGGGACATTGTGGGCTTTTGTATCACATCTTGTTTTCTTTATCTTGTTTTATTTTTTCTTATTTTATTCTTCTGTTATTACTATTTTTTGTATTTACATGTGAGGCTTTGTGAACAGAGATTAAGATTAATAGACAATGTATTCCCATAGCTATGTGGATCCTATTCCTGCAGTCACCTCCAAAAAACCAGGAGACGTCTCATGCTCCTACATTAGAGCTTGTATCCTGTTGTGAAAAGTTTGGTTATGGCTTGTTTTGTATTATAAACATGTTACATGTATACATAGATAAATACCTATAATTCAAAATACTAGAATTCAATCACTTATTCATCTAAAACAAACTTATTACTACAAATTCAGGTAAATTATACAATGAATAAATGTCCTTAGGATATTCTTACTGAATTATCTTTCCCATTTAAATTTTACAACTAGGAAATCTCAGAATGTAAGGGGTCCTGCTCACCAACTAGGATTTTATTGAATACAGATGTATCAAAAACTTGGTTAAATGGGAGGTAAATAAGTGAATCCTTTACACACTTAAATTAAACTGAATGAAATACATATGTATCTAATGGGGCAAGTATCCATATTACAAAACTGCTTGAAGTTAGTACTGAGTAAGTTACAACATTCATGAAGCTCAACTTTAGAAAGCTCTGAAGTAATGAGTACATTTACAAAATTAATTACTCAATCTAGGAGCAGATTCTTTCTTTAATCAAAATTTGATAATTTAAGGTTACTTATGTGGTTAATTTTTTAGCTTATTTAAATGGAACATGTCTAAGTGCTAAAAAGTAGAAATAGCCATCATATGTGTCACTATTCAGATCTATCCTGAATTTAAATTACTAACCTTTTCTACACATGCTATTATTGCACTTAAGTAAATGTAATATATTTAAAAATTTTATTACCATCTTCAATACAGCTTGCATGCAGACTTCTGTGCTTTGATAGGTTTGTAAAAGAAATATAGCATGTGCTACTCTATACACGGTATTGTTAGAGATTGCCCTACCACTTATTAGTGGTAGAATCATAATTTCTAAGCCTAACATGCTACTGAATACACACCAAATATTTGAGATAGTTTTATCTCACATATTAATTTTCCATAATTTTTAAGCATAACATGCTTCTGTAGGTACACACCACTATGTTCCTGAGATAGTTATATCTCACATATTTGTCAGTAATTTTTAAGAATACCATACTACTGTATACACAACACCATTATGAGAGAGCTCTACCTCACATTTTATTTTGAGTGAATTTTAAGCAAAACATGCTATTGTATACGTACTGTTATGTTTAGATGTACTGTATGCCTCACATATTTGTTAATTATATTTAAGTCTAACATGCAAAATATTCAGATCTAAAATAATTTTTCAATATTCCTTGGTAAATATGAAATAATACTTCAAGAAAAGTATTTAAGCAGTGTTGCATTAAAAATTAACAAACAATTTCTTGTATTTAACAAGCAAATCCTATAAATTTTCTTTCCTAAAAAAATCATACTTATGATTACAAACACTGCAATATCATGAACAATGATGCTTTAGTTGACACCATATGCAAAAAAGTAGTGAATAAATACTTATTTCTAATTATAGTACTAGTTTTTACAAGGTTCACAGTTTGCAAAAATACATTTTGAAAATAAACTTACAATAAATTGCACATCTATATATAACACTGGAAGAGGAAACCCTTTATCAAATCCTGGTTAAGTATTTTAGGAAATACAGATTTAATTTTTTGTCACAGGCGTTTTAAAGACCATTATCTATCATGTATTAGCAGAAGTTGTGTACTGCTCCTGGAGCCCTGATATATTTGTCATACATATGATGTCACCATCAGGGTAAAGAACTTGTATTCAAAACCTAATTTCTACTTTTGTGAATCAATTTTAAATGAAGAAAATGTATGCAGCACTAATTATTTGAAGCATCTTATGTTAGTACTAAATTAAATATTCAGACATTAAGCTAAAAATAATAAGTGATTGGTGGTGTGATAAATATTTGCTTAAATGTTCTGTACCAATCTGAAACATTCCGTATACAATTTCTGCCATTCTCGTGGACACCCTACCTACTTAAGGTGTTCATGAGAAATATCCTCAACTTTCTTGATTCCTCAGTAGGTTTGCTCCTCCCTAATATAAGCATGTTAAACAGATTTCAACTATTCCCATACAATCATAAAAATCACTAACAACACATGTATTATTAATTTACTATATTTTTAGTGGCACTACAGTATTAAGAATTTTGATTTTTATAATGCTTTGCACACCTCCTGTCCTTTTAACATTAATATCTTCAAAACAAAAAGTGTCCTTCATTGTAGATTACATATATAATAAGTCTTTTAAAAATATGTATGTTCTAAACACACAGTATAATTGTCAAATTATTTTATATGTGTTTTAATAGCTACATAACATATAACAAAAACATTTCACCATCTTAATGCTTTGACACTTGCTCTTGACCCAGAGCAGCCACACAGACACCTGACACCAAGTCATGAGGAAGAGTGACTGTGTGTGTGTGTGTGTGCTGGGTATTCTGAAAAAGCTCTGCCAGTGGACACAGGGGATCACAAACAGTCCATGTTTTCTGACACTTTGAGAGTTTGGTTATGAAAAATATTTAATATTGGGTGTAAACTGAATAGCTTATTTTTATATGTATGTTTTTAGTATTTTAAATGTTGAAATTCAACTTCAATTTCAGGTGCTGGAGCAGTGCCCTAGTGTGTTCCAGCAGTAGTAAAACCCCAATTAGAAGAAGTTACATCTATTCTACACAAACTGTTTAGATAAAGTTTGAAAATAGCTTGAAAGAGTAATGAAGAAAACTTTATTATGAGTTTAACGTATGAGCAAATGTACAATGTTTTGTCATTATCAGTTACAAGTAGTTTATCTAGACAGAGGAATTCATATACTGTACAAGTTGCAATGATAGTAAATATGAGACGGTTCTGTATTATGTTCGGTGAATATGGTTTCCACTTTTCTTCCAGTTTCTCAAATGTAGAATTTTGGGAAGTTATTACATGTTACTGCCAGGCCCCAAATTAACATTGTTACTTTATAAAAAATATTTAAAATTACATAATACTAACCCATTTACAAAATAACCTGTAATAACTGTTAAGAATTTTACATGAGAGAAATTGGAACCAGATTTGCTAAACATAATAGCCCCCCTCCATGTTTACTACAATTGCAACTCAAAAAACAATAGTATATCTATTAAAAATGCTATAATTTCAAACAAAAACCAAACATCACCAAATGCAAATTCAAAGATATCTTAATCAAACAAAACATACTTTTAATAAGCTTTTAAGCAGTCTCTGGTCATGTTACCTTTTTGTTGCATGCTGTATATAAATCAGATAGATGGAAAATTCCCGATGTGTTTGGATGCTACTGCTACAGACATTATCCATTATGACTTAAGGATGACAACAAGGACTGGTAATGGAAGAATAATTCAGAATTTTGGTTTTATTATACTGTTATTTTTGTTTTGTATTAATTCTACTTTAAGGTCATATTTAAATATTAATGGTAACTGATTTCCCACAACAAAAGGCAGTCAGAGTTGATACATTGTGAGTTCAAGCACTCAACTTCCAACCTTTAAACAATTCTCCTTAGTTGCTGGTGAGTTTGACATTGGCATTGGGATCTTGTCTGACAGATGGAATATTCCCCAATGGTCTCATTATAATGTTGTTTTTGATTTGTATTAAGTTCATTACTGTTCTATACTGCTAATTTTAAACACCTATGGACAATCAATGTATTTAATAGCATTAGATTTATTGATTTATCTATATATATGTATATTCCTGTGTTTATGTAAACTACTTGTACCTGATGATGACATAAGCTTGTTCAAATACTGTACATTTATAACTATGTTAAAATGGTAATAAAGTTTTCTTCATTATTCTTTCAAGCCATCTTCAAACTTTATTGGTCTCAAAGTGGGTTCCTCCTCATCCAAATTATTTATGTCTTAAAAGTTTATGTCAAAAAATCCCCAAAAGTGAGAAAGCAGAAGTTTAAAAACTTGATAATTACTGTTGCATTTTCTTTGTATTCTATCTCAATCATGTGAATAAGACATTAGTTTAAATGTTACATTGTTGAAATATCAGTAATTTTCAGTCAAAGGTACTATAGTGACTATTACATTGCACAAAGATCAATACATAATGTATTTTGTCTGAAACATGTGTGTGAAGGATATACAATTTTCCACATAAATATTAACTAAAACTATAGCTAAAGCTTTATAAACATGTACCATGAAGAATTCATGTACTGACCTCCCAAAAGCAAAACAGTAGCACAAGAAATGTGTTGATTTGGGTAGCTGGTCCATTAGACCAATTGTCCTAATTCCCAAATAAAATAAAGGTATTTTTATTGCGTGTCATTTCAGTACCATAGATATATTTATAGTGGCTTACTAAAAAATGCTTAGTATTAATTAAAAGCTATTAATGACTTTGTTTAAAGAAATATTATATAGTTACATATGGCTCATTGGTTTATTATCTAGCCAACAATAGAAACCACTTGCAGTACAAGCATTATTTGATAATTCTAACAGACTTTAACAGTTATAACTATTAATAAATATATTTACTAATAGTTTTTTTTATAGATAAATATTTTGTTAGTATATAGCTTAAGTATTTAAATTAAAACATCCAAGGTACCACAGGAAAACTTGTATATCATAGTTATCATCTACAACTTCTTTCTCACCTCCACCTTTTGTTCCAACTGGAAGAATATTGCCAGCTTCACTTTGACCAACTTTGTTGAAGCTGACCATGTAAATCTCATAGTGTGAACCACAATCCAGTCCACTAACAGTAAATCTGGTTGTATTTCCTGGAATATTATCATGTAGCCAATTTCCATTCTTTTTGTAATATAGTGTATATCCTACATGCAAAAAAATGAATATGTATTTGATGAAAAGTTTTTAATAAGTAATAATGTTTTTGGAACATATAATCTTTCAAATTGGAGTGCTAAATGAAACATCCATCAACTGATATTGATAAAAAAAGTAGGTACTCTATGGGTTATTGGTATATGTGTAAAATTAAATTTCAAATATGAAACAAGTCATTTAAGGTAACTTTTAATCCACTTCTATTGGGTACTTGAAAAACAAAAAAGGTTCAATTCAGAATAGAGTTTTATGAATAGGTCTTTAAACTTGTGGCAAGAAAGCTGATCCTATCAAATTGTGTTTCTTACCAATAATTGGGTTTTCTTTCAAATTGATATTTCTCCAAGTAACTGTAACTGATTTCGTAGTTGTGGAGTCAATATAGAGAACTGGAGGAGGAGGCAGGACTACATAAAGTGAAAAGATTTATGTTCAACAAAACCAACACTATGCAAACATTACAGATTACTAGCTAATGGCCATTCCATACCTTTAATGAATAATACTTGATATCGTAAATTAAAATAATATATAATTACACAGGAAATGTATCATACAGTATAATTTAAAAAATTAAAGAATAATCTGCATGCATACGAAACACATTGCAGTTGATTGGAAAGATACACAAGTAGATATCTTATGTTTTATACAATAGAAGTAAATCCTACAATGATTCAGTGAACTGTACTGATGTGTAAGTTAGTGTATTATTGTGTATAGAGAAATGCAGGAAAATAAGCTGAAAAGACAATTTTCCAGGAATGTAATGAAATTAACTTTTAATTTGCAGACCTAATTCAGAAAAATAATGTGACAAAATAGCCCAATTAACAACAATATACATAGTTACATAAACTTTAGACTTGTGCATTTTCCAAGAAGAAAAAATAGTTCCTATTATTTTAACAATAACATAAAAAGGTATACTTACATGGTAGTTTCCGGTTCACTGAGAGCATAAAAACATAATTAAAATAAAAACAATAAGCATTATGCCAAGAAAAGTAATTCTAGTACTATGTATGCATGATTAAATACAAATTATAAAAGCCTTTGATCCATTCTTTGTGTACAGATATGAAGAGTTTTTAAAGGAGTAAAAAAATGTACATACCATTACATTAAATTGTTTTTGAGTTCCAAAAGCTTTAAGGAAATGTATGATGAAATTGTTCTAAAATGTATTGGGTATTCTTCATGAAATGTTCTTACTATAGAAATTAAAATAAACACAAATAACTATGTTTCCAAAAATAAAAGCTGGTTTTTGTAGCATCCATGTGATGTGTTCTTTCTTTTGTCAATCTAATTAGAAGCTTATTATTGGATATTTAAACAATATAAGATGTTTCTATTAGCTAAGCAATCACCTGTCTTATATTTAAAGCAAAGTTCACAAAATAGTTATACATCACAATTAAACATGATTATGTTCTGATCAAAGAATTAAACTACATTTCCCAAGAGAAACAGAGGAAAAATAGGAAAATATTATACAACATATTTTGAACAGTTTGATAACATTTGTTATTGAAAAATAATTTCTTTAGATAATATTGGTAACATTCAATTTCTTTTTAATTATTACCTGCACCAAGAACAAACCCTAATATATAATTCAACACAGTAGTTAAAATGATCCACTTACATGCTTCCAATGCTAAAAATTTTATATGCACATAAAGAATTAGGAATTGTCTTATATTTTCATAAAATCAACAGTTTAAATCAACTTACTTTCTACATTTACAAAATAGATTATCTCATCAAATCCATTCATGTTCCATACACTACATGAATAATTTCCACTGTCTTCTGGCTGAACTTTCTCAATCCTCAGGGTTCCAGTAGGAAGTATCTCCACTCTTTTACTTTGGTTTACCAGCTTCCCTCTGTTTGATATACAATATGCTACATGATTTGAATAATTCCTACAAAATATTATGTGTGTGTGTGTCTATATATATATATGTATATATATACACACACCCACACACACAAATATATATGTTTTTTTTGTTTTTGTTGAGGTAAACTATTTCCTAAATTATTCAGAAATAAGAAATGATCTTCGAATCTTTTCCTTAACCATTAACCCTAAAGTTTCTAATACTGATCTCAATGCTTGTTAAATTGCATAAAATTACTTGCATAGCCGTGACTTTATTGATTAGGTTTCTGAGCTTAAAATAACAGGAGCTTGTAACACTAACTAGAATGTGAAATCAATCTGGTAAGCACTTAGAAGATGAGAAGAAGGTTTAAAAATTTCACAAACAGAAGGTATTAGATCTGAAAACTTAATTTGTTTAAAATACTTTCTCTTAGAACATTAAACAAATATAAACAGATAATGAGTTAAAATATACATTTACCTAAATTTCCATTTTCTAGAGGGAGTTGGAAGACCAACTGCCCTGCATGCTAATTCTATATCTTGTTGTTGTTGAACTACAAAATGGCTACCAAAAGAAGCTATTTTTGCTGGGGCTGTAAAGGACATAATTCCAAATAAATAATTTATTGCAACTTTTCTTTCGTAGATATGACTGCAGTTTTATAAAATTTAAAACTATTTAGTTGACAAAGTAAAAATTCACATTTCTCAAAACTAAATATGAATATGAAAAAAAGCTGAGGTTACATCTCAGCGGCTAAGTGGCCACAGAATATTGTTTTTCCACATCTCATATTACTTTTAAATAGCCATTGTAATTATTAATTGTTTTTCAATTATTAGTAGTTTATACAGTGGAAATATTTGCACTATATTTGGAAATGTTTACACTGTATACACTCAGTATAATAATATTCATCATTGTTCTAATGATTCTGGTTCACATTAGAAAAAAAATAAGGAAAAATAAAATTCAAAAATTTATTCTGCATGAAAATGAAGTCTTCTAGATTTGGTAGGAAATTAAAGCATTCTTCTAATCTCCAACATGGCAAACGTTTTATAAACAATTTAAGAACGTTATGCAACAATCCCTGACAAAATAATTGAACTGTAGCAGTAAAGTGAATTTCCTAAGTATTTTCTATAGTTTATGATAATCAACAACTTTTTTGTTTAAGAGTGTTTGTCATATTTATAAAGGAAGTTATCTGGTGTGACAATCTCATTTATATTTCACTAATAACTTACTTTAAAATCACAATAAGATATATTTTTTGATACTATTGTACTTTGTTAGTATTTGGAAATATTTACACTGTATACACTCAGAATAATCATCATCATTGTAAAAACATGTTCTTCAGACCCAACTAATGATTTATGGTATATATTTTATTTAAGACAAATCAAAAGTTTTTCAGCACTAAATAAAATTGAATGATTTTTTACAGACATTATGCAGTTCATTATTATATTACTTATTAGTTATTATAGCAGCTTCAATAATGTGGTCTTTAGTGATGGTACAATACTTCAATAACAGGAAAATAATTAGCTCTTCATGTAAGTCAAATTTCTTTCAAGTTGTGTTTTTGAATGATGGCCTGGTTTGAATCAAAAGTAGAAAATCCTCTTAAATTAAACAAGACCTCCTTTATAGGTAGTGTGGATTTATCACGTGTGCAAAGCACAATCTAACTAGTAATACTTCAGCAATGAAAAATTTATCTAAGTTTTACATAATTAAATAATGATGGATGTTGATGAACAAAAAAACAAAAAGAGATAATTTGCTTTTTGTGAGAAAACAAACACAAACAGCACGTAAAGATTTTAATAGCCATAATATTAATTTCCACATTATCAATTATGTCACATTAAAAAATGAAAGCACATTTTTATTTTAAATGCTACATTCCTATGTCATTTCATGATACTATTTCTTTCTTATAAAATTACATTAAAATCCAAATATATTACATAAACTATTAATTGAAAGCTAATTATAGAAGTTAAAACTAAGGAAACTAAGGATAGTAACATGGAATGTTGGCATGATGACTAGGAAACAAAAAGGGACATGGCCTCAAACAGAAGGGGAGCATGGTGGAGGAGCAAAAAAGTACAGCAAACCATTAAAGAAAAGAAAGAAGCCTTCAAAAAATGACAGATAAAAAAGGATGACTATTCAAAAATGGTGTACAAAAAAGCAAACAAATAAGCAAAGAGAGTTATAGCAGTGGTGAAGAACAAGGCAATTAAAAATTAGTATGACAACATGGAGACACCAAAAGGAGAGAAGAAGATATATTGAATAGCCAAGCAAAGAGAAATGGAAAACAGACATCACAGTGATCAAAGTAATTGAGAAGAAAGAAGGGAAGTTTCTGACGAGTAAAAAGGCAGTAAAACAGAGATGAAAACAGCACTATGAGGAACACCTCAACACCAAAAATGAGGCAGAAAAATTGGAGAAGACACCACCAATACTGGACATCAGTAGAGCAGAGGTCAAAGAAGCAATCAGAAAAATGAAAATAAGCATGGTGGGAGGTCCATCAAGGATTGTCATTGCTATGGTCAAGGTGCTAGGGGATGATGGAGTTGAGTATGTATAGACCTTGTTGAAGAATATCTGGAGGGAAGAGTGGAAACCCACAGAACAGAGAGAGAGACTATTGATACTCATCTACAAGCAGAAAAGATATGCTCTTGAGTGTGAAAACTATAGAGGAATAAAACTGGTGGAACATCTGCTGAAATTGAAGGAAAATGTATTGGAAAAGAGAACAGGGGAAATTGAAGACATTGAAGAAATACAGTTTGAGTTTCAGTCTGGGAGAGAAACAATAGATTCAATCTTCATTCTGCAACAATTGCAGGAAATGTTCCTTGAAGGAAACAAGATGTTATACCATTCATTTGTAAATTTAGAGAAAGTGTATGACAGGGTGCCACAATAATTAGCATAATGGTGTCTCCAAAAGAGAGGAGTGCCTAAAAAGTTGATCAGACTATCGAGGGCCACTTATGAAGGAGCAACAACAATTGTAAAGATAGTATATGGAAAAGTGGAAAAGTTTGAAGTAAATGTTGGGCTGCACACCAAAAGTCAGTCATAAACCCTTACTATTCATCACTGTCATTGATGTCTTGAGTAAGGAGTGTCACAAGGGACCCCTATGGGCGCTAATATTCACTGATGACCTTATCCTAACAGCTGAAAGTGAGCAGGAGTTACAACAAAACACAAGTTAAAGCATAGCATAAGAATTTATAAAGAAGAGGCTAAAAAGTTAATTCCATAAAAATGGAAGTCATAGTGAGAAGGAGGGGTAGAAAGAAGGAGGTCAAAATCATAGATGTAAACAGAAAGCCACTGGAGCAGGTAGAAGTGAAGAAGGAAGTGAGAAAGCTGTGAGCACTAGAATCCAGTTGGGTTGGAAGAAATGGAAGGAAGTAGCCACAGTCATCTGTGACATAAGGTTACCAAGAGCATTGAAAGCCACAATGTATAAGACTGTGATTAGACTGGTGTTCCTCTATAGAGCTGAGACCTGGCACCTGAAGAAGAAATAGAAAGGCTTGTTGATAAGAGCAGAAATGAGAACACTGAGATGGTTGTTGAGAGTGTCACTAAAAGAGAAGAAATTAAATAAGGAAATTAAGGAAATGACAGGAGTCTGTGTAATCAAGGAAAGAGCAAGTGAAGTGAGGCTGAAGTGGTTCAGTTATGTGAAGAGAAAATAAGAAGAACAAGCAGAAGGGAGAGCATTAGAGCTGCCAGTAGCTGGCAAGACAAGACAGGAAAGACCAGTAAAGCATTGGAAGGATGAGGTTAAAGAGGACATGAAAGAGAAACGAATTGCAGAATACCCGGTAATGAACAGAGATGAACATGTGTGAAGGATGATGATTTTTACTAAAGGAAAAAGCTGAAGAAGAAGTAAGCTATAAAGCCAGGTATGGCCTGGTGGATATGGTGCTCAACTCACAATTTAAGGGTTGAGAGTTCAAATACCTGTCACCAAACATGCTCATCTTGTATAGTTACCAACTGGGCTAACCACCTGGGTGTCAAAATTCTTGGTTTACAAAGATACCACCTGACCCCACACTAGGTGAGATTAAGGTCGTAGTGACAATAAAAAGTAAGCTATGTGGTTAAAAACTTTGAACAAGTTTAAATGTATAATTCACTATCTAACATGACCTTAAACTACTGTTTTCTGGATTTTCCTTTATAAGTAAGATTTTTTGCAAAAAAAAAGTCCTTATATTAAGTAAGCATAATAAAGAAATCTAACTTTACCTTTATTATCTGGAATGTGTTCAATAACTTGACTAGAATTCCCTTCTCCCTTGCTTGTTGAAGCAGTCACCCAGAATTTATAACACTGTCCACGAATAAGGTTTCTTGCTTCAAATGTCAGTTGATTTGAAGGCACAACAATTTTAGATATATTCTATAGATATCAATAGGTAAGCTATGTCAAAGTCTAATTATATGGAAGTTCAACAACATCAAATTTGTGTATTGCAATAATAAAAACATGATTAAATTTACTGAAGTACAGTGAAAAATGCATACTCTGAATTTTAGTTCATCTAGTTCCACATTCATATTATTGTATTGATTTCTACTAAATGGGTGTTAAAAAGACCTCAAATTACAGTAAGATAATGAATGATGGTCAATGTTGTGCAGAATGAAAGCTGCACTGATCTTTATATATCTGTAAGGCTTTTTATAATCATTAATAAATAGTATTAATCTAAATTTGAACACATTTTCAAACTTCTTAAGCTGCAGTACATTGCCTCCAAAAAATAAATCAGAAAAGTTGCTTCTTCATCTTGCAAATTTTTAAGTATGATGAAATTACTCAGTTTCAATTAGAACATATCATATTCAATCAATTGTTAAACAGAAACTCAATTGGTATTACTACAGGTTAGAAATCATGATGCAACCACTATAAAGAAAAAATAAACAATTGTAAATTTGAATACTTTATAGTGCACAAGCTATAGATAATATTACAAAAATATTACCTTTCTTTCTTCATATTCTGTGCTCATGTAAACTGTATACTTTAGAATTTCACCATTTGGTTTTAAAGGTGGTTTCCAACTAACCAGAATAGCATTTTGACCCATAATGAATACCTTAATGTTTTCTGGTTCTCCTGGAACTGAAAAAAGTAAAAAAAAAATTATTTACTTACTGTATTTGTAAGTTGTTATTTATTCATAGTGTCATGCCCCCTGCTTTCTGGAAATATCTTGTACCTTCGTGAATTGTCGGGAGATTACTACATATAGGGTAGTCTGGTATATATAAGATGGTCACAACGTGACAGGAACAACGTGTGTGTAGGTAGCGAGTAATTGATCTGCAGTGAGAAAGTATTGTTGAAGTTAATGTTCGTTATAGCGTTTGTTTTAGCACGAATGTTGAAATCAAGTGTATCGTGAAGTTATATTTAGAAAGAATAAACCAGTTTTATTAAGTAAGGACTTGTGTCGCTAAAGTTTCATCGGAACGAAGTTACGGAAAGTCAACTAACAAACGGAGACATAACAAATTTGTGTCAGAAGTGGAACAAAAAAAATGGTAAGATGTATCTATCTATGAATATATAAACACAGAAGGTAAGATGTATCTATCTATGAATATATAAACACAGAAGGTAAGATGTATCTATCTATGAATATATAAACACAGAAGGTAAGATGATATATATACAGTATAGAGGGAGTCAGCTGTGCTAGGAGGGTAGGTCACACTCCTATTAGGGGAGGGTTGTTGCATGCTCATTTGCATGCTACAGCATAGCTATAGGTCATGACACCAATTCAGGATAAGTAAGAGCATCAAGGCTAGTGGCCAGTGAAAATTGTACAAATAGAGAGCAGAACAAGTTAGAAAAAGCTATTATGTGAGAGGAGGTAAGGTATCATATCAGAAACAAAATGAAACTGGCATATTTCATCTGAATCTTTGTCAATCAAAAACTTTCATATAAAAATTGCATAAACCTTTTATAAACATTTTATGTAACAGTTCAAAATGATAAAAAGTTATTTCAGTTGTATCTTAAATATTCACATTTTCAATCAAAAAGTTTTATCCAATATTTACAGTTATATCTATAATAGTAAATATACTTTACTAGACAATTACCTCCAGTCCCAGGGAATGGTGGTGTCAAAACATTGTATTCAGCCACTGTGGTGCCCGCACTGTTGTGTGAAGTTACTTGGACACTATACCAAGTTTCTGGTTTCAAATCATGAAGAGTTATAGCCCCATCTTTGGGTGTCAGTCTTGTGGCTATGACTGTCCACTCTGAGGAGAACTGAATTTTGTACTTAACTGACATTTTAGAAATAGGGCATCCTCTGTCATCCCATTTATTTAGGTGTAAGGTAATGGATGTTGAATTTGGAGTGATAAAAGATTCCTTCCTAGGTGGCACTGGCTCTAAAAATATTTTTTCTTATATAAAAGTACACAAGATGATGCTTGTATTCTTTTTCCAGAAAAACCCTAACTTGAAGTAAATGTAACTGCTGTTTTACATGAAAATAAAACTTGTTTTTACTAACACTTTCTCATCAACTATGGATTACCCTAGACATAACAATAAATTTCCTAAAGTAAAACATGGATGTACAGAAACATAAAATGTTTTTCTCCAGTAATGTTGTCGTAATACCCTCAATATGATGCATTTCAAATACTGAAAACTACACACTGGAAGTGTTTAGTAAAAAGTAAGAAAGTGTAAAGAATTAGTCTTCTAAAAATTTAAAAATATTTAGTATAAGAAAACAAAAATGTCCATCAAATAATCTGAAGACCAAGTAGGATATGAAAAGTTTAAAACTTCCAAAAGTGATTTAGCAGTATATATGTATATAAAATACAGATTTATATATATTTTCTCTTGACTTAAAGAGAAAGAAAGCAACAAGTAAGCATTATAACTAGTAGTGTAATAAGTTATTGAAATTCATTTAAATTTGAAACTAGGCAAGTTTCAACACTATTATAAAACCAAATAAGGTTGAAAACTGAAAGTAGGAAAGCTTCAACACAATTGCAAAATCAAAACTTTGAAAACTGAAAGTATCAGAGTATCAAGACTATGATAAAAATCAAAACTTTGAAAACTGAAAGTATCAGAGTATCAAGACTATGATAAAAATCAAATGTTTTTCAAAGAAGTATCTATCTATGAATATATAAACACAGAAGGAAAGCAAAGGCAGGAGGTGGAAAAAGGGCTGTCCAAATCTTCCTGTACATGAACAGATTCTCCAAGAAAAGGGAGATCCAACCACAGTTCTGGAGACACAGTTGGCTGCATGATAGACTTTAACTCACAATGCACCAAGGCCGAGACATCCTCCACTAAAAGTGTGGAATGCCAAATCGAGAAGTGATGAGAGTGCTGTATAAGACTGTTCAACGGACTACATAGATGAAGAAATCAACCACATAAAGCATTCCTTCATTCACACCAACAAATTTCCACCAGCTATTGTTGAAAAACTCTCCAACATTCACCACAACAAAACTCAACATATACATATATCTGTGTCAGTGTAAATTACTTGTATCTGATGATGACAAAACCTTGTACATTTGCTGTTATGTTAAACATATATTAAAGTTTTCCTTCATTACCCATTCAAGTTGTCTCCAAGCATTATTAGTCTCAAAGTGGGTTCCTCGTCATTGAATTAGAGATCACGTAAAAAGGAAGCAGACAGATGCACATGTGACAAGAGAGAATCCTTGTCAAAGAGATCCCAACAACAAAGGAGCCATGTATGAAGAGACAAAGAAGATAAGCAAACCAATGTAGAAAAAAGAAGGGTTCATGTATCTGCCAAAAAACCCTCAGGGGAACAATGGATAGCCTCGGAAAGGAAGTGAATGGATGAGAGATAAGGGAAGATGGTAGTAAGGGTGAGACAGAGACAAGAGTACTGGGCTGGGGAAAATTGTAGTGTGGTAGCAGGATCACTTCCCCATGCCTGAATCAAACTATACGGTCTGAAAATCCAAAAATGGAAATTCTGACCTATGATATGCCAAAATATGGGAGTCAGCCAAACATGGAGGCTGGGACGTGCTGGCACCTGAACGTAATTGGGTAAGAAACTGATAACATGGACTCGAATATTAGGGGAGGGGGGAAACTAAATAATCCAATGTTAGGGCAGAATGAAGAAGGGGGGGGAGGATTCATAAGACATAGGGGAAGTGAGAACAGGTAACATACATGAGAAATCATGTCCAAAATAGCAGATGAAGGATGAGGTAGATCAAGAGGGGTAGAACAGGAAGGTCTGGCTGTGTTTATGAGGTTTTTCAGTGTATTGATTTTTTATGTGGTGTCATGAGCAGAATTGTGTATGTTCTTATGGTGAATTTTGGTTTTAAACTGTATGTACGATCTAATAATGTTGAGGTTAAGAAATATAACTGTTTATTGTTTTAGTGTTTTGTGGTCAATTTGATGTTGGGATGAATGGAATTTATGTGTTTAAAGAAAGTTAGTGGGTGTTCTGTAGAAGTGAAACCAGCAAAAGAGTCATAGACATATCTGTACCAGTATAGTAGGGAATAAAGCGCAGAATGTATGGCTTGTGTTTCGATCTGGGTCATGAATATATTGGCATAGTCAATGAATAGTCAATAAAATTTTAAGTTATGAATGAAGAACAAACTGTAAACACTTTACCATTATTACGTACTAAGACAGTTAATTTAAGAAGACATTTTGAGACTAATTGCTCTAATAAACCAACATTTACCGGGCAATACTTTCATTTTGTCAGTTTTTTACCCTTTGAATTTAACAATAACTTAATTCATAATTAACATCATCAGGCTTATAATGTAATTAGTTCCATTTCTGTATTTCATGAAGAAATACAAATATACAACTTTTCTTACAAAAATAGTTTTCCTTTACAGTTGATTGGTAATATTATTAAGAAATATTTTGTTTCAAGTTAAGCACAAAGCTACACAATGGGCTAGCTGTACTCTGCCCACGATGGGTATCGAAACCCGGTTTCTATCATTGTAAGTCCGCAGACATACCGCTGTACCACTGGGAGTCAAGAAATATTTAGCCATCATATCTATGAAAAGACGAATACTGTTGCAACTTCCTATATTGCTGGCCAGAACTGACCTGCAGTATTTAGGTCACATGTTGCTGTGAATGGACACCTGAATATTTTCATTCAAAAAGTACATGGGATATGGGCATTTATTCCTCCAGTATTTTAACCACCTAAAATTAAAACTTGTGCTCCACTGTTTCATATTGGAGTGCTGCTCCAAGCTAAAATGAGGACATATGAGACAATGATTAGGTTAAGTGGTGAGAAAGAAACAGAAAGGAAATTGACATTTAGCTGCAATAATTAAATCTTTGTCAAGGCATCGTAACTGGTGCTGTCTGTGTTATATCACGAGAGGGAATGTTATCTCTCAGGAGGTTTGAAGATGTGGATAGCGGGCTTTACCGTAATGACTTAAACTGCAGGTGGAAAAAGGAGAAGACTCAGGTGAGATTAAACAGAAAAATATCAATATTTTTTATCAAACATAAACAGGTCCCAATTTATATAACACAGAAAGAAAAAGAAGAGCACTTTACATACAATCAAATGTAAGGTGATGTACTACAGGTAAAGGTTACTGAACTTATAAAATAGAATAGAACTACACTTAAAAGGCATAAACTGAGAAAGATGTGGAAAACACAAAAACGTAATAAAGAATACTCGTATCTCTCCACGGTTACTCATAAGCAGTGCTTGTTCATTTTAAGGAGTGAGAAATCATTTCAAATTCACAACTAACCCTGGAACCTGGAAGAGGATTCACCTTTGATAGCTGAGATAAACCTGGAAAGGTGCATTCAATTCTACCGCGTTACTTTAAGGTTGGTTACCTTAGGTGGTCATATCAGTGGTTACAATGTCCCAATAGACCGATGCGAAGACAGAAAAAGTTTACACTGTCGACAGTAAAGTGTTAACAAACCCCAGCGTTATATTCACGAAAGGTCAATAAACGATTTGTGCCGCAAATCATGGCCTTACGAAAGTATACAATTTAGAAAAAAATTCTAAGCTAAAGCTCCAAGAAAATATAGTAAAT